AGCAAGAAGTAAGATAAGACAGGGAAACCATTGTTCTGGGTGCACTGGTTGTGTCCTTGAGAAGTATCTACTACTGTGTAAGGTTTTGCTAACATATTATAATGTTACTGTTACTTAACTTTTAGCTTTAAAAAGTGCTAATTCAGCTTAATAGAAATATGCTGTTACAAAGATTTGAAAAGCACCGCCCAAGTATTGCTTTTTTTTGTTAACCATGAAGTCTTGCCTTGTTGTAATAAGTATAAAAGATCACCTCACCCTTAGGGGGGGGCATTTTGCCTTTTGCTGGCTTTATGGTCTTTGCTCGAGCAAATAAACAGCTGTCTTTCTTTACCCGCGTTGTCTGTCAATCAAATTACAGCTAGACAACGAACCTTAGGGAGGTTTCTCCCACCACAATTTGGCGACCCAGGTGGGACCCGTCTAGCTTGGCGCCTTTGGAGACCTCCATCCCCCGACACCCCAGCACGCACCAGGTGAGTTCACCTATTGAGTTAGTCTCGGGAGGTGGACGGTCCCCTCGGGACCAATAAGGCGAGATCCTCAAGTCGGGTAAAGGAACGGTACCGGCGAGTACCTCAGGTCAGGTATGTTTTTGGTTTCTATCTGGTTTCTGGGTTTCTGGTTTTACCTCTAGAGGTCTCTGGAAGCAGTCTTTGAGGGTATCTGTCTGCTGATTAAAACGCTGTTAGACCCAGCAGCCTAGCCAAAAGGCGAAAGACACAGATATAAGGTAGAAATGCTGTTATAACGGCCAATGACTAGGGTCTCGGACTCAAGACGCCCCGCCTCACGGAGAAAGCCAGTGGGGTCCGAGAACACCGGTTGTTGTACGTGGACGAAACAGCTTCTAGGCAGGTAGAACTTAGGGAAATAAGACTGCTTGTGCTTGGATATAATCATGGGTTCCGGTCTAGGGAAAGTCATTCCCGATTCACCCCTTGATTTTATGATTAAGAATTAAAAACATTTGAAAGGACGGGCGAAACTGTCCAAGTCTCGTATGGCAAAACTCTGTTTAACTAATTGGACGTCTTATACGTCCCAGTTAGATTTGGGAAGACAATGGCCAGAAAATGGATCATTTGACCTAAATCGCCTGGCTGCCTTACGAAAGATCTTGGAGGACCTCCGCCCTGGCCAAATTGGTTATTGGTATTTATGGGACAACGTTGCTAGCAAGCAATCAAAACCTTTAGCTACCCTGACCCCTGCATCTTTCCCGAATCTGTTAGCTCCCCTTCAGTGTCCAAAACCTACTGCACCACCGTCATATTCAGAAGATGATTACAGACCCATGCCTAGGCCCCCTAACCTACCATTGATACCACCTCAAATGTTTAAACCCCAAAATATTGCCCCCTGGCCGGCCAAGGGACTGGGAAGTCTTCGGGAGGCATCACCTCGATTGTCTCTCTCAGAATCCCCAAGTCCCGGATCTGGAGAGGGATCCAGAGATCCCTCTCCAGATTCCAGTTCCACTCCGATTTCAAATCGCACTCGTCAAAAATTGTCTAAGCCTGCACTTCAGTTACCTCTAAGAGAATACCCTGTGCCTGGTGAGGGTGGAGAAGTTATCAGTCACTGGACACACGCTCCGTTCTCCACCACCGACCTCTTAAACTGGCAAGAAAACACCCCCAGGCTCAGAGATGATCCTGAAGTAGTTCTAAGACGCTTCAAAACCATTTTCATGACTCATAACCCCTCCTGGTCAGATGTCATGCAGCTTCTCGAAAGCCTCTTAACTACGGACGAGAAGACTCAAGTACTACGCCATGCTGACCAATTTCTAGCCGACCAGCCCCATGAAAACCACCCCATGCCTAATGGCGTTCCCAGACAAAACCCGAATTGGAATTACAATCAGGAAAGGGGGCAAAATTCAATACGAATGCTGAAAGACAGCATTTCAGAAGGATTAAAGAAAGCAGGAGATAAAACTACAAACTGGTCCAAAGTGACAGCTACTGTTCAGGGTCCCGAAGAACACCCTTCAGACTACTTTAAAA